CTGCCTCGCTTTATGCTGTTCTGGACCCCAAATAAATTTTACGTCCTTTTTCATTAAGCGTGCTATGCAGGCGGTCTTTGACGCATAGTCTTGGATGTATCTCCTAAAATATCCAGCTAAGCCCAGAAATTGTCGTATTTGTTTGACATTAGTGGGTATTGGAGAATCAACCAACGCTTGAACTTTACGAGGGCTCGGCCTAACCTGACCCTGACTCACTAAACGCCCCAAATACTCAACCTCTGTTGACAAGAACGAGCACTTCTTTGTATTTACTGAAAAACCTGCCCCTGTTAGGGTTTTTAATACTCTTTCTAACAAACAGATACCCTCGTCCATACTATTACTCATACAGAGAACATCATCAACGTAAACTAGTACATTACCGGCCTCAATATGATCGCGAAGGGTTTCGTTAATAATTCTCTGGTATACTATAGGCGAGTTGGACAACCCATAAGGCATACGAAGGAATTCTAAATGAGCTTCTGGTGTAACGAAAGCAGTTTTATGAATTGAACTTTCTTCGATGGCTATCTGATGAAAGCCGGTCGCCATATCGAGACTGGTAAAGTATTTAAAATTACCCAATCTATCTATATGATCGTCTATTAAAGGTAATGGGTATCGATCTCTAACCGTCAGTCGATTAAGCGCCCTATAGTCGACACACATTCTGTCGCTACCGTCCTTCTTCTTAACTAATATTATGGGGCTGGCATACTCCGAATTTGATTCGCGGACAATGCCCTTATCTTTTAAATCGCGTACTATTTCGCGGACTTTGAGTTTTTCAGAGTATGACAACTTGTATGGTCGGTAAGCGACAGGCGTATCATCCGTAACCTTAATGGACATTTTGCCAGTAGTAACGGTAGTTGACGCGGTACCCGAAATAAAGAAATTTGAAAACTGTTTTATTAACTTTACAAGTTGATCTAATTCGGTACCCTGAAGGGGTGTGTTAATACACAGTGTTTCATCAGTGGATACAGCATGAATGACCTTTTCATCGGCTCGAGTCAGGTATTGTTTGTCCTTAGTCCGAACGTACATGATACCCTCGCGGTTGAGGATATCAGTTCCTACGATGATAGGGGTAGTTATACACGATCCCGGTACTACGACAAAGTCAGCCTCTATCGAAATTTCATCGAACTCGATTGTCAACGTGACATACGTGTCGGCCACGATAACGGTGTCACTGATTCCTCTCAAAACACATTGCCTAGGTTTTCTTTCGCAAGCAAAATGCTTCAATGCTTCTGAAGATACTAAGGAAATATTCAAGGCACCGCTGTCAATAAGTACATCTACAGGGATGCCCTGAACCACTGCAGTTTTGAGATCACTATTTTGAGAAGAACTAGCCACGGGCGTACTACACAAATTTATATCCCGTTTATTACGAGAGCCTGACCTATCCTTAACAAAGCAAACGTCTTCATGGTGTCCTGATTTTTTACAAAAATTGCAGACGGTTTTATTCATGTTGCCCGTCGTCGCGCTTGACGTTTGCTCAGTTTTGGGTTTTTTGGGACAGTTATGCGACTTATGTCCTTGTTGACCGCAGGTGAAACATTTTAAATGAGTCGGACGATTGCTGGGAGGTGGTTTAGTTGAGGAAATTTTATTATCAACTTTATTGCGGGTAGGTTTCGAATAAATGGATAAAAATGTTACTAGATCATGAATATGTAGGTTGGCGTTGGCGGCTGCGGCCTTAACCAGCGGGTCCGTAATACCCCTTATCACTATTAATGTCTTCAGTTCGTCAGTTAGTCCTTTTACTATTTTAAGACGTAGCAACGTTCTCCTAGCATATTCGGCATAAGTACTAAATTTATCAGACGTGGTATGCATTGCGTCATAAAGGATGTTCGCATAATCTAGTTTTCGCGAGCACAATGGCTTGAATTCCCTTACGAAATTGCTCCATGTTCGGTCGCTAGTTACCCACTCATTTAACCAAATACGCGCATCCCCCTTAAGACACATCGACACGCGTGACAAACACTCAGAGTCTCCCCAATTATTCGATAATTTAGCCCGGTCAACTTCATCACACCACGCTTCTATATCGTGTATAGATGGGTCGAAGTTGGACACGAAGTACTTTTGCGTCCGGTCTGAATTTACCGATTTTATCGCGTCTACTAGCAATTGCACGGAAGAAGTCGTCACTGATTGGTTATGACTATGCATGTCAAGACTATTCGTATCGGTTAATAAACTATCGGGGGCGGGAACATTTGACGCGGCGATGGAACTAGTCAACAATGTTTCAGACACGTTTTGTCTCGCCTGAATGGCCTCATTACTCAATTCGTTTAAAGACGGAGTGTGGGACCTATCCGACAAAACGTCGGAATGTTTATTTTCGAGTGTATTCAAACGCGATAAAATTGAATCTAACGTTTGTTGCAACGCCGAATTATGGTCGGAAGTACGACGATTTGAACGTGAGCGCGTTTTACTTCTCGAGCGAGTTTTCGCGCGCGAATCTGATTTATCTCGCGACCTACGTTCCCTGTCACGTCGACGCGATTTGTTGCGAGATTTATGTTGTCTATCAGCCATGATTAGGGCACAAAAATAAAGTTTAACTGTTACTTGGTGTTTTTATTCTTATACCCGACACAGAACAATTATTCAAATCAAAACAGTGGGCGTTTGTTTAAAGATCCCACTTCTGAAATTAGGTTTCTAAAACAAAATCCCTTAAAAAAAACAAAATTTATTCATTAAAACAGAGTTTTATATTTAAACAAAAATTATAACCTCTTAAAACTAATTTACACGGCATTTAACTTAGTCTAGGTACAAAATCAAAACACCAAGCAAAATCACAATAATAGAAAAGTATGTACTCACAAGACTTATAGCACTCTTACTAATACAAAAACACTCACAAATCGCGCCGACTGCTACCGACCTCCACGAGAGCTGACGAGCAAAATGACCCCCACCAGCGTCTGCGCCGCCTTTTATAGGCTATGTTAGATATTATTGTTGGGTTAAATATTATTGTTCCTAAATGTATAATTTTGAACATTACCAACCTTTGAATTATGAATTACGAAATAAAAACCAATGTTGTCTCATGAAAAACATTTTAAAATTACGCTAAATAAATCGTTTGTCATATAAAATTTTTACTTTAATTTACTTGTAATAAGATACATTTTGGAGCACGAATCAGACATTTTAAAGGAAACCATTTACACAGACTTTGTACAAGAAATGTTAGCTGTTCGCTGTCAGGTTTGTATTTTCGAGAAAAGACTTAACGAACCACACGGAGCTCTGTAACTACACCGCTGGGCTCCTGTGTGCTGTAACAACTTTTGTTGTGTTACAAATGTTACCACAGCTTAATTTAACCCGGACCACTGCGAGTTCAACTTTGAAACTCACATTTGTAAATATTTTTTAATCTACGTTGAATATTTTTCAAATTTGTAAAGGTTTATCAGTTATCCAGTCTTTTAACATTTTTTGAACCCAATTTGAGAGCTAGCTCTCAAAGAGTTGCGATGTTATGAATAATATTAATTAAATATTTGCATTACAGAATATAATAATTATGTATAACATCCGCAAGGTGGACAGACGACCTCATTAAGGTCGCAGGGAGCCGCTGGATGCAGGTCGCTTCCAACCGGCCTATCTGGAAGTCAATGGGGGAGGTCTATGTTCAGCAGTGGACGTCCTGTGGCTGATATGAAGATGATGATGATTACAGAATATTCAATCTTATTCCGAAAGTGATAAGACTTAATTAGAGGGGGTGATCCAAAACGTAGTATGTGTTGATAATAAATTTCTACCAAGCCATATAGTATGTGTATGTGTAAAACTGCACTGCCATGTTGGCCGAGTGGGGTTTCGGGTTCGATTACCGGGTCGGGCTAAGTATTACTGTTTTTTTTAATCTCACTAGTAGCACGGACTCTAAAATTGTGCCCGATATATGGCCATAGGCTCACCCCCTATTCTATGTGACTCATAACATAAATAGTGAAAAGAGAGTGTTACATTGTACAGTGGCATTAAGAGCCGTAATGTGTACGTTTGTCTACCCCTTCGGGGGTAAAAGGCGTGATGTTATGTTATGTATGTGTAAGATGGGTGTTCGTAAAGACATAATGACTGTATTTTTTCTAGCTGGACTAATTATAGGTCATTAATTTGTCGGATTGCGAGTATTATGGTTAAGTCATATTAATTGAACTTTTGTGGGATAAACTCAAAGGAGTTTTATCTTCGTGATATGTCACTGTCCAATCCGATTAGCTGGCAGATATATGATTTAGAATAATGCACTTGCTTCTGAATTGAATAATAAAACTATACGTAGGTACACACGAATCTGTATTTAACATCTATATATTGTTATGGATGGTGTACAGAATTTTTTTACTAATATTATTTTATCCCTTCCTTTTTGTCCCCTCTGGGTATAACATAGAATCTCGGATTAAATTCTTGGGTTACTTATTTCTCATCTTGTAGTAAAGTAGAATATTACAAAGTTCTTCCAAGATTTTACGCCTTTTTCAGAGGTTCTTAAAAGTCAAAATGAAAGTATCAACACCGCAAAAATTCCCACAAAATTGTTTGTAACATAATCCGTCAGTTGGAAGTGGCCATAAAACTAAGTGGTCAATAAAAAACTTGAGACACGAACCTCGCTACAAGGAACCAGAAAACTTCAACGAAATGTTTAAAATTATATAGCATAACTTTAATAACAAACAATGTCGCTTACTAAGATGCTTCATTACATTCACCTGGCTTGTACTGTATGAATTTATTGTTCCAAACTATTATGGATCGCGATTTACCCACGACAGTTGAATGGCATTATTGCTGGCCTAACCGGATTATGAACCACTAATAAACGATCAGAGCTCTATCATTATAATCCATGTAACTGACACTTCGCTGAATATTATATACATTTAAAAGAGAACCATGTGTTATACATTTGTACATACCTTCTAAAGTCTCTGCTCCAGCACGCGTAGATGACAGGGTTCATGGAAGAGTTGACCCAGCCGAGCCACGTGACCACCACGTTCACGATCTCCTCGTGCGCTATGCACGCGGAGCAGATCCCCGACAGCAAGTTCACCACAAAGAACGGCAACCAACACACTATGAACACACCCATCACTATACCTAACGTCTTAGCCGCCTTTTTCTCTTTGGCAAACTTCGCTAACTTACGAGACAGCGAAAAGTTTTTTGGCAAATGTTTTCCATGCGTCACATTGGTGAGTCGTGTCGAGGAACGCGACAAACCATTGTTCTGTAGCGCCGTCAGAGGCTCCTGGTCAGCCTCCTCCGGCGTACACACTCCGTGACACGCGTCACTTCGCTGCCGCACAGTGCCTCCTCTATGTATACGTAACGTCAACTCTAATTCACCACTAGGTCTCATCACTTGCTTAGTGCCAATTTTAAGGGACCGCGTCTGAATAGTCGCTGCACGATATATACGATAATAAGTGAACACCATCACAAACAGAGGTAAATAAAATGATATTGTCGATGAAAATATTATATACTCCAAGTTTTCCGTGAACGGACACTTATAGTCTGGCACTTCCTCAACACGCACGGCGCGCCACCACGCGATGGCAGGAAACGATATCGCACCAGAACACACCCACACGGCCGCGATAAGAAATGCGGCTTTCCGTCCACTCATACGCATAGGATATGTAATAGGGTCCGTAATGGCCCAGTACCGGTCTAATGAGATCACGCAAAGATTTAAAATGGAGGCCGTACTAAACAACACATCTAAGGACCGCCACACATCACACCAGTCCACACCGAAGAACCACGTGTGTTCTAACACTTCATATAATGCAGAGAATGGCATCACCACCAACCCCACGAGGCAGTCCGCTACCGCTAGTGACGTCACGAAGTAGTTAGTAGAAGTATGGAGATAGCGCTCGCGCACTACGGCCAAGATCACGAGCATGTTGCCGAAGACAGTAGTAAGAGAGAACAGGAGAAGAAAGGAGACGAGCAGTGCTCTGTCATAAAGTAGTTTAATATACTCGTTCCAAGGTTCCTCCGGGTCAGTGGATACGTTGTACACAGTGGTGTTATCGAAGGTGAGGTTGAAGTCGAGGGTGCCCTCGAGTGCTCGACCGCTCTCCAGTGCGTACTCGGCCCCCCGGTACAGGACGTCCAGTTGGCCTCTTGCCACTAGTACATCCGGGTCGGTCGCGTTCATATTTTTCCGATAGTTACTTGCTCACTAGCGCCATGGTGAGTGTTTATGTTTGCCTTGTTTCGCCCGCAGCCATTTCGAGATTACGTTCTTGGCAGGCATTGTATTCCAGTATTCCAATTTCTGGCACATGTTTTGTTGGCATATTTTTGTAGCCCGCAGATATGTTTAGCCACGTTCTGAAACAAAAAGATCCAAATGAGTATCTGTACAGCTTCTATCTATCAAGAATTACATTATGAAAATGAGATTGAATTCCGAGTCTAATATTACGAGAGAAAATGAAATTGGGGGAAGTTAATTTTTATTTCATTGCTTTTAAACTCTTGTGATATCAAAAGTTGAAGGTTGGATGTGTCTATGAGCTGTGTCATTGGCACGGGGTGGTCGTCACTTGTATAGCGTCATCATCGACAGGTGGCCTTGCGGGACATAAATAGCGCTCAGAGCAACTGGCGACATCAAACGAATTGTGTGCCGTGGGCCGTGAGAGGTCCGTCCACATGAGGGCGCCCGAACCGCTCGCTCCCCCGACCTTCCCGCCTCCTCACCCCTCCCAAACTTTACGTTAACTCATAGCTTGAGTCATCCCACGTGAAATGTAAATAAACAGGTGGGTTTCAGTTACGCAATTAAGGCAAAGAAACACTTGTGGAAGTTGAAAGAGACTCGATTACAGCCTGACCGGCTCTTTTACGCCAACGAGTGTAACACGACCGGGCCTTATAATATTCACGAGCTTTAGAATTCATATTTTGATTATATGATTATTGAAAACGTTAGCGAGTCGAGCAAGTCTTGTGAAATTAATCAATCGTAAATTTAATACTTTTGATTGCCGCTTACTTGTTTAATCAATCTTGTTTTAATATTGGAATACCTAACTAATATACAGCTGTAATTAAAATATTCTCAGAAATTGTATAGACTATTTTGCAAAGTATTTAGGTTTAAGTAATTACTGAATTAACACTTTATATTAGCTATAGGTTTACAAGTACTTTGCAGACTTTCAGGAGAATTAATAATTACGAAAATTTTGATAGAAGTAAATCGATTATAAAAATGTTGTCAAACAATAACAAGAACATCATAAAGTTTTAATTGACAATTTGCGAGTTAGAGGCACTTGGTTTTATTAGATGCAAGATTTTTCTGGAGGACATCGTTTGGCTGTTATTATAGCTTGGTTTTACGAGGGCACATTTTCAAAATAAATGTCAGTTTAATGTTACGATGTTATTTTTAGAACGTTTATAGTTTATGGTTATATTAAAAATGCTTATTAATAATTGTTTTGGATGTTGTCCTATGCTCGGGTAAGAGTGGAGATTGCCTGAAAATGGTCAACAATACAATGACGCCCATGACGATGAGCCTCATGTTAATTTTAGTTATAATATAATATGATTTGCACTAGCTCAGCGGATTTCATAACTATTTACTGTTTTTATTTAATAAACCATTTTTGATTTTAGATAATAGATCTTAAACAAATTCAATTAAGCATCTAAGTCTTTTTCTCTTGTCTTTTTAATTCTATTTCACTTAAACTAAGCATTAGTATAAACTTAACGAACTAGAGTAAAGCGAATTAAGTAACTTTTGAATAATATTGAAACAAATCCAAAAATATAATACTTAGGAATCTGAAGTTATTAATATTAAGTTAGTCGAAAATGAAATAGTTTTCGTTTATATAGCTCTTTATTGTATGATAATGAGTTATAACAGTTTATGCTAATTTAATGTTTTAGTTTAGAAATCGACCTTTGTCTTAGATTTAATTTCTAGCTAAGATTTGTTTGTATTGCAAACACAATTAGAGGTATATTGAACTAAGTACACAAAACGATCTACTGATTTAATGGTTGGTCAAACATTAATATTTTAATGAAACAGCAAATAGTTAAATAAACAACAACAACAACAGAGAGCATACATTGTTGAATCTCTACGCTTAGCACCTGCGCCAAATGGCTAGGAGACCTCAGGTAGGTCATGGAATTGCCTATTCCACGATGATTCATCATCATAGTGCGAACAAAATGCAATTTTGAATTGAATTATGTTCATTACAGAATGTAGATACACTTTATGCAGCGCTACGCGGTTCTACGAATATGCTACGCCATGCTACGGCAAGCGACTACAGTGCTACGCGTTTCTTTTCTCACGTGTATTTCCATTATCTATGTAAACCCTGCTACGGTTACTATACAAAGACATTTTAGAATAAACAATTAAAGCTAGATTACTGAGGCTTTTGACCTTCGACCCAATAAACAGTAGAGCCCATTTAGGCGTAACATAGCTTGATGTAGTGTTAGTGTCCCTGTGTACGGAAATCCTGTTTAGGTGCCTCGAGCTAACTACTGGCTGCTGTTAAATGGCCGCTAGTTCCCCTTAGATTAGTTTCAACTTGCGAGGACGCAAGTATGGCTAACTATACAAGCAATAGCTTTGTAGTTCCAAAGTTGAAGGTGTGGTACTACCTTTATTGGAACGGACAGTGTTGTGAGTGGTTTAAGTGTCGATGTCTCTTAAGTACTACGATTATAGTATATTGATAATTATATATTTGGAAACATTTTAAAGAAAAATTCGCTGAAATTCTAACACCATTATTTGTTTTTTAAGGTGTATAAGAGAGTTTGCCATTATCGCCAAGGTTGACAGGCTGGTTGGAAATGATAGTGGTTCATATTTATCAGAGATCGGTATAAATTGGTTCCTGTCAATTGTTTAATCCCTTAATCGGCTATTCAAAGAGTCGGGGCTGTACCTAATGTAGTTACTTCTACTCTACCATCACCACACAACTCACCTCAGTAGTTGCAAACCAGAAAAAGTGACATCCTCATAAATATAAATTACAAATATAAATTTTTAAAAAGATCCTAAACCAAACAAAATCAACACTCATAACTCGACGCCATAATACCAAAGAGCTGTTCCAACCATTACTAGCCGCGTTAATATCAAACACGTAACAATCCAGTTAGCTTCGATTGTCAAAGCAAATAATGATCATTGAGTCCGCATTATCGTTGTATCAGCTCAGACAACAGCTTGATTGCTTGACCAATTTGTTTGTTAAATTGATGTTAATCTCCTAAACGCATTGTTAGTTTCAATTGTTTCCCTGTCTATTAATTACTGAATGTGATGCTGATGAGATTAGTTGACATTATATTATGTAGTAAAATGTATAACATAGATTTGAAACTTATTAGCTTTGTATAAATTATTATCAATGATTATCGGCCCCCGTGTGGCTAGAAACTAGTTGGGTAAACTCATCGAGCAGACATGTCAACAAGCCGTGTGTTTAATTAAAAAGTGAAATAATAAGTAATTAAAACAGAATTCTCTCGCAATTATGCAAATTAAATTGCAGTACCAAATGGCACATACTTCAGCAATGCGACACAGAATTCAGTTAGTTGCATCTGTCGCTGCAATTCAAGAACTATACAGTCAGCATACTATAAAAGTGAACATTAAAATTCACTCTATCCAGACTGAAGGATTCAAGGAAGTTTCTGGACCATTAATTCAACACATATCGCTGTCTCATGCACCCGACCTCGCCCGAGATTAGCCGACTGCGCCCGAGTGCGGTACGATTACAGACGACACGCGAACTTGCTATCAATCACTGAATACCCAACTACGACGTTTCAACGTTTCCTACTTTGTTCTTAAAAGTTAATGCAATTTACTCGAGCTTTTCCTACGCAAAGATTTTGTAACGTTCTTATGTTCTTTTGTATATTATTAGTTATTTCTTTAGCTTATTGTTTAAACCATATCGAACTTAGAAATAAATTTTATTTAACTTTATTTTACGTTTTATTCGATTACAATTCAGAAAAGTTATTGTATTGCTATTAGCAATCCAAAAATCCCTATAAAACCTCAATCTTTAACTCTTTTCCGAAACACACATAAAATTCGAGTTTTAACCGAGTTTCAAGACCATAGTAGTGGTCTAAATGATTGATAGTCTGGAGATTCTTATGGTGCTGGAAGACAATGTGGTAGACACCGATACCGGCGCCTCGAACGTCCTAATTTGAAAGAACCGGGTGCGTATCATTAATCAATGTCCTTTACGTAGATTGCTAGAATGCAGCATTATGATTAGGTTTATTACATTTCCCTTTTGTCTTTTGTAATAGGTTCGTCGGTGTCTTTGTCTTTTCTAGGTTATAAGGTTGACGATGAAGATTCGTCGTGGTTGGGTGAGTGGCTTTAATTGCTTGCAATGATATCTCTAATACCCTGAGCAATTAAAACCACCCAACCACTCTTGTTGAGTCACACTAGTATTTTTTTAATATGTGTTTTTAAAGTGTTAGAAGTTTGGGGCTTCTAGACTATAAAGCATTTATCTTTACTTAAGGCACTTATCAGTTAGAGATATACTTGTAAAAATTGTTAAGTAGTTTTTTTATCAAATACATACAGCTTATATTTTGAATAGACAAACAAATCGAAGCTAGAAGATAATTTTGTATCTGCTCGTATATCTCACATTATTCAATTTCTTAACAGCAACGAGTGCTTGCGATGAAAGGAGAGTTAAAACTCAAAAACTTGGAAAGCGAATGGCATTCATGAGCGTTCTGCTAGCGTCAAGTAATTAGGTACCTACGTCTACTTCCATGTAGGGCTGTTGAGCTTATTTAGATCTTATTATTCTTGATATTTAAATATGGAAAAAGTGTCTATAGAAATAAAAATTAATAATATAGGTAAATAACAATGTTTTATATTGTGTTTACTACAGTCAGGACAAAAAATAAGCTTGATAAAAAAATAGAAGTTTACCTGAAGACTCTGGATATAGCAACCAGTCCGACATTTTCTATAATTCAGTTGAGAAATGTGATGAATAACGTCGTGCATTGCAGGTTTAAATTCTTCACGACAGGTAAAGTACTTTTGCTGGTACATTTTGAAAGCATGAAATGCGCACATCTCTCGGGGCTAATCGAGACTGACAAGATAACTACAAAAAAATTCGTTTATTAAACCTTACCATATCTCTTTGCAACACAGTCGCCGAGTAAAAGTTATGTAACTTATCTCAGACAAA